CAACGAGTCCCGGGTCCACTCCTCCAGGGGCGTAAGGGACATCAACATATTCCTTGACCGTAAGTGTATATTTCGTGGCCAAATTTCTCGTTCCTCTGGCCTGGAACGAGGAAAGCCCCAGGAGTTCGGCGAGACCATCCTCTTTACCACCGACGAGGCAGTACTCCAGCGAATTGCCCAACACGACCCAGCCTTCTTACGCGACATTGAGGAGGAAGAGGAGGAGGAAGAGGAGACGGAGGAGGGAGAGGAGCCAAACCAGATGGTTGTTGGTGAAAGGCTAGGCGAAGGAGAGCCTGCTGCCACTGAAGCCCAGGGTGTGAAGACTCGATGGTTGGATCTACGGTTGCTAACGGCTTGGGACGGCGGAGAATGCGGCTATATTGGCCTTGCTGGCATTAAATTGCTTGCGGACCCCGGCGGCAAAAAGGAAGCTCGTGTCTGGCTTACTCACCAGGTAGACTCTCCTGCGTGTAATTTTCGAGTGGATTCACACGCACTGACCGACGGTATAAATCACACCACTGACGAAGATCACATGTGGACGGCAAAGTTCACAGAGGATGTGGGTTTGCAGTTGAGATTCTGGTTGATACCTCCAAATGGTGGGCTGGAGGACAAGGAGGAGGAGGAGGAGGAAGAAGAGAACGACATTCCCACCCTCTACGGAATTCGGCTTTGGAACTACAATGTTCCTAAGCAGTGGAAGTGTGCTTCAGGAGTCAAGTTCTTCCAAATCCTCGACGACAGGGGTCGCTGTTTGGGGAATCTGTTCGGCCAAGAAGGACCCTTCCTGCTAAGACCAGGCCCAGGCCATCTGAAGTACGATTTCAGTCAGTGGTTTCTCCTAGCAGACATTGGCGGCACAACCTGGAACTATTCTCCAGCCAGCACATTTGTTCTGGAAATATCCCTTCACTCCAACTGGGGCGATGAAGAGAGGATCGGTCTTAGCGGGCTCCAACTGCTGGGCTGCAAAAATGAGACGATAGTGATCCGACCCGAACAGGTCTTTCTACATCCAGGTGTAGTCAGTGAG